TCTCTTAGCTCAGTTAATATAAATGACAACTATGCATATGTACAACTTTACCATGCTAGAGACTACATTTTTGCTTCACAAATCGTGGCTTGGGGATGCTTAAATAGAGAGATCGAGTTTTGAAAAATACCTCCTTCAGCTGGATTTGGATATGGCAATGTGGGGACTTTGAGTGAGGCCTGAGGATCGTGTGAGCTTCCTTGAAGTTCCCTCAAGTTATTCCAATGCTTAGCTGGCCTCGTGGATGGCTGAAACTCCCTGTAGAAGTCAAGTTGCAACCTTCAAGTTTGAAAATGGTGATGTCTGAAATAGAGCTCACAGTTGCAGGATGAATGCTTGGATAGCTTTGGTAGGGTGTATGGAAGGTGTTTGAAGTGTTGAAACAAGAAACGCACGAGCCAAAAATGAAGTGGCTAGTGTTTTGCAGAAAATGGCAGTTTTGGGCAGAAATTTGTGTTTTGGAGTTTTGGAGAGTTTTCAGATCATAAGCATTCGTGTATTTCCTTGTGATAAGTTTGTGAAGATGTATATAGTGATACAAAGTCCACCCTTTTTCTGTTGTACAAGTTCTGACTTCTTTGGCCAACTTTCTTGCCTTTGAAGAAAAATGACAAGACTTATGCCAACATGCTTGTACTGGCTAGTTCTTTAGCTGATGAGAGTTGGTAAATAATGCTTGATATCTGTGGACATTGCTTGTAACAAAATAACAGTTCCAAGTCTCAAGGTTTGTAAAGTTGCAAAAAGCTTGCTTTATGAAAATGGCAATGTGCCCTTTATGCCATTTATGGATTAATCTCTTGTACAATGCTCCAAAGATGACAACAAAGCTTTTAACCACTGAGTTAGCATTAAATTATGGAGTGTAGAAGGAGTTTAGGACCTGTAATGCAAGGTACAAGCATGCTTGATCAGATTTTCAACTTGATGCATTATGGAAATGGCTTGATCAAAAGTGATAAAATGCCATTTTCTCTTCTTCGATTTTCCCTAACCACAAATGATCTTGGAGAGTTATTGGACATTTTGGAAAGCTTGCAACATTCTATACAATCCATCTTTGAAATGCATTTTGAGATACCTCTTGGAACTAGGTTAAAAATGCCCATGAAGTTGGGTCAAAAACCTGCCTAAATTAGGGCAAATTTTCACTAAGTCTTTTAGTTCATGGACCCCTATTCACAAATTTATATCTTGAGATACAAGCATCTTTTGGGAAAACTTTGTGAATAAAAATTGTAGATATCATGGAGGACTACAACTTTCATGTTGGAAGTTGTCCTTGAATCAAATTTCATCATGGTGAAAAAGTTGTGAAAAGTTAGGAAAAAATAAGAAAATTTTCATACTTAGAAAAATTCTAAGTTATGAAAATTTTCAAATTCAAAACCCTAATTTGCAATTTTGGGTTTCTTGATCAACAAGTTTCATATTTTGACATGTCTTGATGAATTATGACCCTTGGCACATGATTTTGACCAAAAAGTGAAAGTTTGACTTTTTAGTGTACAGTTGACTTTTGATCAGTTGACTGAAAAATTCATTTGTCAACCCAATGAACTTGAGATCTTTTGAACCATATAATTAGTTCAAGATGATACCATTTAGTCCTTGAAATCATGTTTGAACCCAATTGGTCATTGGCTAGGTTAAAAACCAGAAATTTCCCTTTCTTAGTCAAAACCCTAATTTTGACTATTTTGCCCTTTTGATGATTTGATCAAATTTCTTGAGGAGTTGTGATCCAAACTTGATCAAATGGTACATATGAGTATAAAATGTTGTTGTGGATCAATAATTATGAAGTTTGACTGTAAATTGGCCATAGTTGACTTTTTCCCCAATACAGTTGATTTTTAGGTCAACTGTCCAATTGACTGGTCAAAAATGTGGTTCAAGGCTTGAAATTTGGCATGAGTAATCTTAGGGGTCCAAGATGGTATATTAAAGTCACATGAAGCATTGATAGTCCAAAAATCCTTCTGCAAACTCAAACCTTAATTTCAGGTTATCAGTGCAAGGTGATGCCTTGAGCTGACCAAACCATAATCTTGTCTTGAGTCCAAGAAGTCTTGTGATGAAAATCTTGATAAATGAGAGGAAAATTTTTGGGGTACAACAATATGGCACATGGATTTCTATTGACCGGCCTCAAAATAGGTACGACTTCTATATAAGTCCATTTACGATTGCTTAACATAGCGCTAAATTTTGTCCTGATTCGAGAAATGATCATTCGTGGCCCAAATTTATGTTTGTAAGCCCAAGTATATTTAATTTGAAACATTTGATCTAATAAACTTGAGGTTCATTGTTAGGAGGATTTTGTATTATCAATCTTCTAATGAACTTTCATAATATTTGGTCTAAGTGAATCATTGAAACATCGTTGATCATTTGTTGTTGCCTTGAGAATTTGAAATGGATGATATGCTTGACAAAAAACAAATGAAACTTGTTGTTGAGAGGCTTTGATTTTATCAATCTTCTAATGAGTTTTCAAATGCAAGTTTCAAGATGGTCATTCAACTAACCTCTAATTTCTAACTCATTAACAATTGACTTATATTTTTATGTTTTTACTTTATGCTTTTACATTAAGCACCATTTATCTTAGCATTTTCATTTCATGCTATTTTCATCTTTGCTCAGTTGAGCATTTATCTTTATGTCTTTTTTATTTTTAAGAGGTTTACTATCTTTGCTTGTTTGGTTTCAATCCAAAGGATGATAATTCTACATTGACTCATTGTGTCAAGTGTTGACTTCTTGTTGGTTAGACGACTCTTTTCCCTAGATTTTATCTTATGCTTTAGCATAGTCTCTTCATCTCATCTCATCCCATCTTCTTTAATTTCAAAAATCTTCTCCCTAATTTTCAAAAATATTCTTGTTTTCTAAACTTGAATCGCTTTCACAATATACTCGGGCTTAGGTACATGCATTTTCAAAATATTTTCTTAATCAAACTTTAACCAACTTAATAATACTTTGACATTTTTGTGAGAAGACTAAAAGTCAATCAATCTCATTTAAACTATTTTTCCACTTTTCCTTCTTATCTTAAAATTTTCTCAAAAATATTAGACTCTTGTCAATCTTTGTAGTGATGCGAGCTACTATACTTCTACGATATGTAATGAAGTGAAATATTTTCCACTTGGGTGTTGAGCGATGCTTTGTTGATTTTAAAATCCAAGCCATATCCTCCACTTTGAGATGACGCAAATTCTCCTTTCTCATAATTGTGGGTAGTAAGTATGTTCTCCCACTCGGATACAACGATGATGTCTCGTCTCTTAAAATTAATCAACACGCTTGTGTTTATTTAAAAATTTTAAAGGTGAATTATGAGCACTCTGATTCCCTATTGCACGGAAGGTGGTACGTAGGCACTAAAGGTTCACAACCGCGGCGGGTGCAAAATTATAAAAAACACTTCTTTTTATCATCTCCACAATCTATTTTTATACAACATTTATAGCCACAATACACAAATTTTCAAAGAGGTTCTGGCGGAGTACCGTAGATGTTTAGGGTGATAATACCTTCCCTTTGCATAACCCACCCCCGAACTTAGATTCTCTCCCCCTCTTTTTTGGTTATTCGCTCTTTTTCCATTTCTCTGGAAATAATAAAGCGCGGTGGCGATTTTTATTTTGATCTGTGCGAGTCAAGTCAATCCAATGGCTTAGTCTCAATATTTCTACCGCCACAGAGATGTATTTTCGGACACCTGAAAGAAAATTTCAAATTTTAAAAAGTGTAATATACTCGTATAAAAATGGAAAGAACATTTCATAAAATTTTTACAATGTCAAACCCCAATTTTTGGCCTCCCTACGTACGGATCCTTTGTAGCATATGTTCACGAACAAAAAACACTTCTTTATTTCTAAATTATGCACAAACATTTACCTCTACAACGACTAGTCGAGTTCCCGGTTTAACATTATCATTTGCTTCATCTGGTTAACATCATCATTCACTCAGCTGGTTTAACATTATGCTTCATTTAAATGGGTGTAACATCCACACTCACAATAGATTTGAGAAACATATCTAGGTGCACCATATTTATTACAATCAATAACAGAAAAATAGTGTGAAAATTCAAACTATCAGGACAATCCGAAGATGCACATCTGGACCAAATTAATGATCATTTCCTGCAATTCAAACTATTTTTTCTCCTTTTGAAGTGATGAAATACAAGAATGATGTTTTGATGTTGAAAAGTTGATTGAGAATGAGAGCTTTTTTCAAGGATTTTACAATGGTTTTTTCTTTTAGTATGAAGAAGAAACTCATATAAAGTGGTGTTTTATCAACTTTTCTGCTGGGCATTTTCGGAGCTACGTCTTCGGAAATATCACAAAATTGTTATTTAAATCAGTTGCGCGAATAACAAAATTCCATAAATGAGTACAGGAGATATTTCAAAGATGCATCTAAGGACGCACCTAAACCGTATACAGAGATGCATCTCCGGACCATTGTTTTTAAAATCTGAGATGAAACTCAGAAAAGAGAAAATTGATGTGATATTAGATATATACGGGAGATGTATTTCGGAACACTTGAAAAATAATTTCGAATTTTCAAAAGTGTGATATACTCGTATAAGAATGGAAAGAATATTTCTCTAAATTTTTAACTAAAAAAAATTGTATTTCAACATATTTTAAAATGGCCCATCATTAGCCCAATCTATAATAAAAAATAAAATTTTGATTTATTTTCAAATTAGCTAATTACAATTAAAGTGGAGAAAACCGAATTACATGACAGAATAAGCCTTAATCCATGACAGAATATAATTAAAGTGGTTGCAAGTTCATTCTTAAAAATAAAGAACTACATGTTTCATGACAGAATACATGCAACCAATTCCTCCTTTTATGATATTAATTAAAACGAACTACATGTTTCATATTTATTGAAAAACAAGAGTATACGTAAACACACCACAGAAACTACCTTCACCATCCTACTATTAATCATTCTTTCTGGAAAACAACAGGGAGAGCACCACCATCCAAGGCCAACAGAATCTTTCCATTCTCACGAATAACACCAACAGTCCCACATTCAAACTTACAGCTAGGGCATACCTCTGTAGGGCACCATTGGATGTTATAGATACCAACAGTTTGTGTCGGCACAATCCTAAAGAAGTTACCATATGATCCAGGTGTACTATCATCTCTTCCGGTCACAATCACCCTCCTTCCACTCGTAGCGTCCTTCTCTCCCAATCTCCAGTCTGTTGATTGTGCACAACTTGAGGAAGTTTGAAATGTTACTCTCACGTCTCTGTTAAACCTTAAGTCATCAAAATCGTGATGGGTGGCAAAAGGAATGAATTTCACTGCCACACCGTGTGCCAAGTCAGTGTTGTCAAGACCAACTTGCAGAGGGCATGGGGCATTTCCGGTGATCAATGTAGAACCTCCTCCATTGCCTGTGATAGCAGGTCTAATGAAGTATTCTTCATCGCCCTCAACGGGTTCGCCGCTTGTGTCCATCACAAACTGAGCTATTGATGTTGTTGCCATCAAAAGCCAGACATGAGCAAGGATGAATACGGTGAGGAATCTAGTTGACATTGTTGTTACTTGTTGTAAGTAGTTATGGATTTAGTGGTTTTGTGTTTTGCTATTGGTTACAAGACAAGGTATTTATAGGACAGCGATGTTTCCATGAATGCTTGGAATATTTGTAACTTGTATCTTCAGGGTTAAATACAAGCTATTAAGGATAAACACTTAATTTGTTTGTTTATATGGATCGGGCAATTTTGTACTTATGGAAAAAATAAAAAGCAAAATGGTGAAATTTTCCTCGTTGCAATCGTCCAATGAAATATGTTTAGGACAACAAAAAACTTTTGCCTTTTCCATTTCTACTCGTACTCTCTCTCCACTTTGGCCAAAATCATACAACATTTTATAATTTTAGGTGCATTTTCAATCTCTTATTACCACTGTCATATGAAGCGAGCAAATAATAAATAATATTATTTTTACTATGTACAATATTAAATTAAAAAATATGAAAAGAAAATAAACATATTTTGTAAAATTAATGTAACGTGGCATGATTTATTTTAGTTGTCTGCCCATAAAGTGAGTTTAATAGGTGTTAATTGGTGTGTTTAGAGTGATTTATAATACTATCTGTTCTTCTGAAGAAAGGGTAAGAGTGGGACACCTTTCTAGTTACGTTAGGAATGTGGATATCTTGGAGTTTTCTGACTTTATCTTCCAAATAGAGCTAATTAACTTACTTCTCTCAGGAAGAAAGTTCACTTGGTTTCATCCCCACTATAGTGGGGATGCTAGAAGACTTGATCAATTTTGGTTTCTAACGAGTGGTGGGATCATTAGGGTAAGGTGTCCCACTGAGCTTTTAGTAGAGATGTTTATGATCATTGTTTTGTTATCCTTAATTATGCCAATTAGGTCTGGAGTCCTAAGCCTTATAGATTCAATAATTTTTGGTTATCTCACAATAATTTTCCTGAGCTAGTGTACTCGAGTTGGACTAGTTCTGAGATCCATGGTTGGAAATCTTTTATTTTGTTAGAGAAACTACAAGATCTTAAATTGGGTCTAAGACCTTAGAATAAACGGTGTTAGGTAATCTTGATTCTCATAGTGATAGTTTAAAAGAGGTGGTAGGTAATGTGGATTCTTTGGATGATCCTAGGACCTTATCTCTGGAGGAGATTGAGACTAGATCAAGATCGATCTTGAATTTGTAGTTCTTGTTAAAGATTAAAGTTTCTGAATTGTTCAAAAGATCTAGGTATATGTGGCTTAGGAATGAGACACTAATTTTGGATAGTTTTCATGCTTCTGTAAAAAGTATAGGTAGACGAAATACTATCATAACTCTGAAGGTTGGAAAAGGTTGGATTGAAGTGGTGTCTGAAATTAGGAAAGAGATTCCTGAGTGAAGATTGAGAAAAGTATAAGAAGGGGGTGAATTGGGTTTTCAAAGACCTTTTCTTTTAGAAATAATTCTGATAAACGATCAATGATAGACAAGCTAGAAAGACAAATGACACAATTAGTTTATGCAAGTTCACCTTAGAACAGGCTACTCTTGTCCTTCCGTCAAGGTGATTTTGCCTTAGAAAAGGACTTAATCCACTAATCTTGAAAGATTACAACCGACGTCTAAGAGTTTAGAAAAACACCTTAGTCCTCTCAAGTATATAGACTACAACTCAGTCACTTGATGGAAACAAATCTTGAAAGATTTACAATCAAACAGTGTTTACAGTAGTGCTTCTAAAAAACTGATTTAACACTACAATGAAGAACAAATATTTACACACAAATATGAGCATAAACTCTTGTGTATACAATAATAATGATAACACGGTAATGGCCAACAACTCTTATGTTATAGAGAATAGAAGTTAACACAAATCATGAGCAACAAATCTTTGTGTTTTTTTATTTCTCTTGAATACTTTCTCTTTGTTTTCTTTGCACAATGGCTTTTTTTTTTCTTTCAATACTTCTTCTCTTTTTGAAATTCGTCATCTTCAAATGAAGTAGTCATCTCTTTAAATAGGCTAAGAAAAATGAACTGTTGGATAGAATAAAAACGTCACTTTCATTTTTCAACTGCTACAATGATATCATCAAAACCTGGGAGCAAATTCCTTTGGTCGTACAACGTGGTTTTCACCATTGTGGAATAGGCCTTATATTGTTGTACTGTATTCTTCTTGTGCAAGTTCCTTATCTTTTCTTCTGATGAGATACTTATGATTTGAAGTAGATAAGAGAGTGCCGAAGAGATTATGTCTTTGTTCTTAAACTTCTGATGGAGTGTTTCTGATATGACACTATGATAAATATTCTAGAATATGTTCCATTGTAATATTCTCAAAAGTATCAGAGTCTTCAGAATCAGAACCTTGTCTTCGGACTTGGAGCAATAGCGTATCTGACAAATAATTCTTGATATATGAGCTAGAAGGGAAAGCTTATCTGAGAAACACAATAACTTGATTTTTGATCTTCACTTGGAGATCCTTTTCTAGCGAACACTCGTGACTTCTCAAGCAACAGCTTATTAGAAGAAGTACATGTGGATCTTTTTTTGGCGAACATTCAACGATCATCAAAAAATGTTTCTTCAGAAGCGAATGCAATAGTCTTTCTGAGGCGTGCCAAACACAATTTTGATGATTCTTTAGACAACAATCCCGAATCAATTAGAACATTTTATCTACACACTTAAGAAACTATTAGATAACACAATTGTTACATAAAAAATATATGTACTGTTATCATCAAAACTCAGAGATTATATGCAGAACTAAATCTTGTTCTAACAATCTACCCCTTTTTTATGATGACAAAATCATGTATTTTGACGAAACAATTTTACAAGGTAATATCATACAAAGTATCAGAGTAAGTTTTATAAAAACTCCCCATAAGATAAACAATCTCCACCTGAGTTAAAAACTCAACGATCTTTAGAAATGTAAGAGATATTTGAGCATTATCATCTTATCTGAGCCTGATTAAAGCATAAGATTCTCTTTATCACGTATCAGAGCTTGGACTTGATCAAAAATTCTTTTTATCAGAGTCTGATTTCTCAGAACCTTCTAAAAATTGGAAGTTCTAAATATAATCTTGATTTATCAAAACCAATGAAACTTTAGAGGTTCTTTATCAGAACCTTCTAAACAGTCTGGATTCGATCCATTTGCTTATCAACGTGTATCAAAACAATAAGTCGCATATATAATTTGTTTGAATGTAAGCAATGGGATTTATATAATTAGATATGTATCCAAATTATCACTATCTTTCTCCCCCTTTTTGTCATAATCAAAAAGATTTAAGAAACTTTTTAATTGATTTGAAATATGTAACACACTTTTATAATTTCATCAGAGAAAAAAATTATTGATGATAAATGAGAGTACAATCAAGATAAAGACAGGACACAGAGAAACAGACAAACAAAATACATTAATCTAAGAATAGTTTATCCTTCAAAATTTCACATTTTTCTACTCCAAGAGCGTTTTCTGGTCCAAGCATCTGAGCTAACTCAATCATCTCAGCTTTATAGAAAAGTTCAGATAGAACTCTCCCATAAGTTATGAAGGAATTATATCGACCTTTGGACGATAAAACATCATGGATAGAGATGAGATTTTCAATGGGTGTACTTGAGATTAAACCGGTCGACAATGATATTACCAGTTCTAACACAACCTATAGCTTCAGCAATGGAGGTAGTTGTGATAATCAAAGATAAATTGAAACCAACATCCAAAAGACTAGAAAAATCAGGACGATCTTCATGAATGACTTCTAAGATATCCTCATTTCCATTGTAGGTTTTTGAAATCACGATGAAAGAAAAAATTTGAGAACTTTTTTAATGAAGACACAAAGAGGAATGAAGAATAGAAATGGAACAACAAGAATATAAATATGGATGGAGAAAACGTAACTAACAAGAGAATTGTTTTCCTTAGGAAAGGAAATCAAACTCAATAATAAATGTATGAACAAAAGACTGGGAAGAATAAGGACAATTGTTATTTCCAAGACAATTTATCAGGGAGAGATAACACAAGATGATAAAATAGACATGAAAATAGATAGTCCGTGCTAGCTGAATTTCTTTTAAATCAAAGAAGTCTTAACGTTTTCTTGAATAAAAACATATTGGGATAAAACGTAAAGATTTTTTCTAATCTCAAAAATATTCCCCACTGCTCGAGATTAATGTTCTCAGAGTCAAACATGACTTGAGATGTATCTAATCAAGACATCTTCTAACTTGTAGAAGTATCAAGAAAAGAATATATAATATTCAGAATAATATTTTTCACAAGAGAAGTAAAACACATAAGAGTAGTTTCATTCTGGATAAAATTCCATGTTTAAATTCTTCAGAATGAACTGAAACCTATCTTCAGCTAAGGGTTTTATGAAAATATCATCCCATTGATGGTCTGTATCTATAAATTTTAAAATAAGAATCCATTTCTGAACATAGTCTCTAATAAAATGATGTTTGATTTCTATGTGTTTTACTCTAGAGTGCAAAATAAGATTCTTACTTAAGCATATAACTGCAGTGTTATCACAGAATATAGGAATGTTACCCACGTATATCTGTAAATCTTCAAGTTGACTTTTCATCCAGAGCATTTTAGTACTGCAAAGAGACGCTGATATATGTATGCTTCAGCGGTTGATATTGCAATAGTTAACTGATTTTTGCTAGACCAAGAGATGAGATTGTCACCAAGAAACTGACAGTTTCCTGAAGTTCTTTTACGTTCAATTCTATCTCTGGAATAGTCTGCATCATAGAAACCTGGTGATTGTATTATGATGTTTTCTTATACATCAAGCCAAGTTTAGATGTTCCCTTCAGATACCTTAGGATTTTCTTAACAGTTGTTAAGTGAGTTTCCCTTGGGTCTGACTGAAAACGAGCACATAAACACACACTGAACAGTATATCTGGATGAGAAACAATCAAATAGATAAGAGAGTCTATAATATCATGATAGAGCTTCAGATAAACCTTTGTGTTAACCTCATCTTTC